AGATGGACAACTGAGCCTTTTTGTCTCTTTCCTCCTATTATGATCGATTGATCAAGCCACTGTGGGCAGCTTCCAAACGTTAAAAAAATTCAGACAATTCATTTAGTGACCATTTTCACACTTAGTGACCTTGCCCCCCCCGTCCGCGGGATCCAAATTGAGACGCTTGCCGACCGGCTCGTATTTACGACAGTTGCGGCAGTCGTAAATAGGCAGTGGTCTCCTATATACGACGGTCACAGTCTCCCGGGTGTGTGTGTGTGTCACGCGATCCCCTTTAGCGACCTTCTGATGGGGCAAGTCGATGGGGGGATCCGGATTCGCTTAAGAACGATGTAACTCACTCTGCAACAACAGGGATATTCCCTTTGCAACTGAAAGGTCGTTATATGGGGCAAAGCTCCCTTAACTGTCATGCTTAGCGGCGGAAATGCTGAGCTCAGTTGTGTCTTCGCAGACACAGTTGTGAACTTCACAGCGGCAGCCATTCACTTAACAGCCCTGGTAACGCAATGTCGTAAAATGGGGCGCAGCTGACTTTAACAAATGCCCCGCTTAGCCACGGCGGTCGTAAGTCGAGGACCCCCTGTGGTTAAAAAAAGCCATTAAGAAAAAGCCCCCCACCCCTCTTTTCCCCCCTTTCTCTGGCAGATCAGGTGAAGAGGAAGATCCTCGTCCTGGACCTGGACGAGACCCTCATCCACTCGCATCACGACGGGGTCCTCAGGCCCACCGTGAGGCCGGGAACCCCCCCTGACTTTATTCTGAAGGTGAGCCTCTTCGGGAAGTGGAGGGGCAGAAACAAGGGTCAAGATAACTAGGTCAAAACTGGGGTGGTGGTCCCGACATGCTCTTGACCTGCAGACCGGCATGTCATCTGGACCGGCCATAGGCCTCCCTCGGACAGGGTTGGGGTCCGGCTGCTCACACAACTTTCAGGAGTGGTTTGGGATGGAGGGCAGGCGATGTGGGCAGGGGGGCAGCACTGAATCGTGCTTCATCCATCAATTTGCCTTGGCGTAAAAAAACCACCTCCACTTCTGAGTCTGTCTAATTGCTTTTGGAAAGTGAGGGGAGCCAAATGTCAACTCCCAAAGTTCCCATGATGAGGAAAGGGGGGGGAAACGCATTCCACGCATACTTTCGGCAAAAGTCGGATCTCAGATTACCGCAGCAGGCTTGGGAGGGGTGCACCTCATTGGGGAATGTGATTTATGACACAGACTGAGGGGAGGGGAGGAACGGGGGCAAAGTTCACCTATAATTCAAATGAGGCTCAGATCCGACTGCAATTAGGTCTTGCCCAAATGGGGCTCCTAATAAATGACTGGTTTTCCTTTGAAACGTGGCTCGAGACTCATGAATCAATTCGGGCATCTTTCGGAAACCTGGTAATATAAGCCCTACCCCAAAAATAAGCCCCAGTTAAGCTCATCAGCCAGGCCTTTTAGTACCGTATTTCCCCGAAAATAAGACCTAAATGAAAAATAATGCATCTTTTGGAGCAAAAAATTAATATAAGACCCGGTCTTATTTTCGAGGAAACACGGTATCATCTATGTCTATTTCTGTAGTATCTACTGGTCTGTGTATCATCTATATCTATCTACCCAATATTATCTACCTATCAACCATCCATCTATCATCTATCTATCTATCTATCTATCTATCTATCTATCTATCTATCTATCTATC